GCGGATTAGGCCCCCAACAACTTGATGACATAAGGGGGGGAAGGTTCGCGCGAGGAGCGGATGGGCCCCGTTCGAATTGCGGAAGGCGAGTTCTGTCAAGGACAAGGTCCAGCACTCCGTGCGCGCCGCCTTCCCGGGCCCCGTTTTAACGCGGGGGCTCGAGCTGGTCGCGATGAAGGCTTGCGCGCAGACGCACTTGCTCAGCGACGCTTCCCTTCTGGCCCGCGTCGCGAAAGCGCGCGGCGGCTGTTTCGCCGCGCGCCATCATGACCTCATGGTGCGCCATGCCATGGCGCGGGCGCAGGATCGGAATCAGGGCGACGCCCTCCGCTTCTCCTGCAGGCGGACCGAGATTTGGTCGAGGGCGCCAGCGACAAGGCCTCAGCTGGCGCGGCGAAGGATTTGGTCGAGGGCGCCGGCGACAAGGCCTCAGCTGGCGCGGCGAAGGCAGCGAAGTCCGCTGCGAAGGGCGGCGCCTTCTCCAGCAAACCTTGGGCGGCGCATGCCGCGGCCCGAAACGCCGAGCGACGCGCGGCGACCCTGGCCCGGCGCCGGCGCGGCCAGCGAGCGGCAGCCAGTCTTTCGTTGGAAGAGATCCCGGAGCCGCGCCAAGAGACGCGGCGACAAGAGGGACGCTTAGAACATGGGCAACAAACAGGACGACTGGCGGACCGCTGGCCGCGGGCGGCAAGGCAAGTCGCGGGGCCGGCGCCGGCGGGCTTCGGAGACAATCTCGGAAGCCGAGCCCGAAAAGATTCGCACAAGCATGCCAGAAGTAGAGGATGACCAGCAGTCAGTCGTTTGGCGGGCTTGCGGTTGCGAGCGGTGCTGTCGAGGTTGCCTTGGTCGATTCGCTTCTGCGTGGCTCTATGGATCCGCGGGGCCACTTCGATGGACTGCCTCCTTGCCCGCTTTTGAAGAGCGTCCCGATGCGCCAGCAGTAACAGCTGATGCGTCTTAGGGGGGCCGTTTCTTGCACAGAGCCACAGTGACAGGCGCGACGCGACGCGAGGCTCCAGCACGGGCAAGACCGCAAGCGGAGTGCGGATGCATTGTGGAAGCGACTTTGATGTTGGCCGCTCCCGCAGCACTGCCAGCGCATGTCGGGCCCAGGCAGGAATGCGCCGCTCCTTGCTGAAGTCTTCGAAGCAAACGAACGGCCAGACAGCGGACTAGTTGAAGGCGTAAGGTTCGATTGTTCGCTGCCCGTCAATTTGCCTGGGAGCGGCGTTTTGCCTTCCGCCGCGCGCCCAGTTCGGTCGTTTCCCGCGAAAGGCATCGCGCGCGACTGCGGGCAGAGCCGCGGCCGAACGTCAATGAGGTTCCGGCGGCCTTTTGACGCCGCCGCAGAAGTGTCCGACGCTCTCGCAGCGAAATGCACCCAGGAAGTAGCGGGTCGCAACGCGTGGATGGCGACGCTCGCGCCGACGGCGCCCGCCACTCCCGCCCTTTTCCTGCGGCGAAGGGGCGGGGCAAGGGCGGGGCCGAGGGGTGGCGCCGCGAATTCGTCCGATTGACGATTTCTCTGCTTCGCGGGCAAATGCTGCAACCGCCACTGGGGGGCCAACGCCAGTAGAAGCACTCGACGATCACGCGGCGGTCGTGCGCATCGCGGCGGGCAAGTGCCCTGACAGGAACGTCCTTGGCGTTCAGGAGAGGAGGTTTTACGAGGACTTTCAAATCTGCCGCTCCGGGCTGGCGAGTTTCGCTTTGCCGCGGCGTCATGGAGAAAGGCGGCCAGTCGCGATCAAGGGTTGCGCGCGCTACGCGGCCCCCGCGGTTCGCGCGCCCCCGCGAACGGCCGGCGCCGCCGAGGCCACATTCGCACGGGCCGCAGGGCCGCTGGGCACGGCCCGTTGCGCGCGGCTGCTGGCAGAGGCGACTGGCCAGGAACTCGAGCCTGCCGCGCGCGCGGGGCAGCGCGGAAGCAACGGTGCCCGGGGCGGGGCGCGCCGGCAGAGGTCGGCGCGCTAATGTGGATGCCATTGCAAGGGCGCCGCGCGAGAGTTGTCTCCAGCCAGCCGGGGCAAAGAGACCAACTCAGCGTCTGAGCTAGGCTGGCACAGCTGTTTTCGGCAGGGGCACCCAGGCGCATTTAGCAGCGCTGCGCTGGCAGTCGAACCGGCGTTCGGAGAGATTGACGGCGCGCGCCAGGGCGGCGCTGCGTTGGTCGGTCCGTTTTGGGGCGCAACGCCAGCGCGGCGCACCCCGCTCGCCCCCGGGGATGGGGCCATGGTGACGGCGATCGCGCGCCCGCAGTCTCAGTTGTGGAATACCGATAGCGCCCCCAGAGCAGCGCGGGCGTGGGCCCGCGAGCGTCGAGCCCAGAATGTCTCGTTGGAGCTCGTTGCAGCAGCGCGCGCCGCGCAATGTTTAATCGGTCGAGGGCCTGCTGGATGCGAGATAGCGGCGCTCGCAGATTGCAATCCAGCGTCGCAAGCACTGGCGCGCCGCGCCAACAGGCAAAGCGACCTTCTTTCTTTGGTTTGTCGTCGCTCGCGTTGGCATTGTCTGGCACGCTCATCGCGCCCAAGTGAATGAAACTTGGCTGATGGGCCGACAGAGGGCGACGCGGGGGACGCAGCTGCGGGCGCCGCCACGGCGTTAATTGTGACCGCTGGGGGGCTAGAAAGTCTGGCAAGTGAAGAATGTCATCGTCCACGCGTCTGTCTGGGCATCGGGATAGAGATTGGTTTCTCCTCGTTTGCCCCTGCTGTCGTCTGGCGCGGTGAAGTTGTCGTTCTTTCCGCAGTTGTCCTGGCCGACGTTTGGCGTTCAGAGCTGGGCACGGGCCGCCGGGCGCGATGGTGGCGCTGGCCAGGAGGTTGCACGGCAGGCGCCAACACGCGCGGCCGAGGTTTGCAGACGCTGCGCCCGAGCGTCACCGACCGGCCCGTCGTCGGAATTGCTCCGGCGCGCGGCAGCAGGTTCACTAGGGGAACTGGATGTTCATGCGATCGCGAAGCATCCGCGGCGGGATGGAGCGCTTGGACCGTTTGATTTCATCGATGTTCCCGTGGCACAAGCAACGGGGGTTTGTGCTGCATTGGCCAGCTCGCCCGCGGTGTTCGTGGAGGCATTCCCGGGGCTCTGCAAGCGCAGTCCTGGTCTCAAACTCTGGCTGCAGACGCGGCTCCGGTGCAGCGCGCAGGCTCCGCGTCGCAGCCGCGAGCGGCGCCGGCAGGCTCAGCGCGCGGGCAGCCACTTCGCCTCGCCGGCGGCAACCCACGCCGCGTTGAGGTTGTGCTCGGTGGCAAGAACATCTGGCCAAGTTCCGCCTCCTGACGTTCTTGCAGTTACCATATTGGCGTTGGTTCGAGGCGGCAGTGAAGTTTTCGCCGCGCCGTCGCTACTTCCTGGGCAGGACTCTTCGCGCGTGCGAAACAGCTCCGATTCGCTCGAATGCAGTGGGTCTGGCTAAAGTTTTGCGCATGGCAAGCTGGTACCCCAGGCCTCTTCGGGCCACCCCTGGGGCCCGCGCGGGGGCGAGGGAAGGAGGCAGAGGAGGAGGAAGAGGACCAATGAAAACCTAACAACGACGATGTTGGAATACACCCTCCTTCCAAGTTCCCTCCGCATAAGCGCCTACATGTGTTTATTTCCCACTGAAGGAATTGCCCCGTCGGGGGGCAACCGTGCAAAATTCCTGAAGCGTGCCCAAAGAGCGTTGTCACGACCTCAACGCCGCGAGTTAGATTGATTGTGAAGTTTTATCGATCCGGAGTCGTGCCAGAACATCAGCCGCAGGACTTCAACACAGCGAATAGACGTAATTGCTGCGTCTTGACAACCATGAATCGGTCCAACACACCATGTCGGGTATTTTGACAATGAAAATTCATGGAACGCTTCCGATGTTTTAAATGAAGGTGCGCGGCGCTAAGGCGAGAGCCGCACTTTGAAAGGGAACCTCCCTCAATCCGCGAATTTCCTGTATATTATTATTAGAGGAGCGCGCGCCGCGCTAAGGCGATAGTCACATTTTGAAAACGAAGCGCCCTCAACCCGTGAAACGTCGGCAAACTGTTGAGACGAATGTGCGCGGCGGTAAGGCGAGGGCCGTCTTTCGAAAACGACTCGCCCTCAATTCGTGGAGCTCTTGCAATTGTTTAAAACGAATGTGCGCGGCCCTACGGCGAGAGTCACATTTAGCAAACGACTCGCCCTCACTCCGTCAAGCTCTTGCAATGTTGTGCAACGAATGTGCGCGGCGCCTAGACGAGAGCCGCATTTTGAAAATGACCCGCCCTGACTCCGTAAAACTTGCGCAAATGTTGAAAACGCACGTGCGCGGCGCTACGGCGAGAGCCACATTCTGGAAGCGACCCGCCCTCCATCTGTGAATCGGTTGCCAATGTTTTTTAAGCTTCAAGGTTACAAATGGTAAGGCAGCCTCAGGCGAAACGCCCAGCCCGCTCTTTCGACCAGCCTCGGGGTGCGACAGGGAAGAGATATGTATAGGGGAAAAGGAATGGAGGAGGACGGGGAGGAGAAGGAGGAGGAGAAGCAGGAGGAGGAGGAAGATGAGGAAAAGGAGGAATCTTGAGGCCTCCAACGCGCATCGGAAGCGTCAAGGCAAAAAGGCACAACTCATTGATTCCCTATAGGGTTTTGAAGAATGATGGCCTCTTGGGGGGTCCAGAGGAGTCTCCAAGAGCACTTGAAGCCGTCTTGAGGCCCTCGTCGGGTATCTTCGAGGTTCGGAAGCTATATTGAACCATCGTCGGCTATCTTGAGCCATCTGGGGGCCACCTTGGAGCGTTGGACGCACTCTTGGGGGTAACTCGGGCCATCTTGGACGCTCGAACGCCCCGCGCCCCCCCCCACCACACACACACAGTAAACCCCAGGGAGGGAACCTCCCGTAAACGAACAGGTTTTCGGAAGAGGAAAGGCAGAACTCGCTAGACCACCTTAGCCCAAAGGGCTGCTAGGACTAGAACCCCAGGCGTGCGGACTGGACAATGCGCCAGCATGGGGGTGGCCCATGCCTTCCGCAGGTGCTGGGCCACAGACTGTTTGCAAGCAGGAGGGCCGACAGCGCGATCTTATTCTGGAGGGTGGCGCGGCCTCACGGCATTCGCATCTGCGTCGGCGAAGTTCCGCGGGCCGTTCGAAGCGGCGGAGTTGTTAGTCGATTATTCAGATTCGTTGGACGCTGGCGAGTGAAAAGCTCCTGCCTTCATTGGGGGTCGGTTGGGCGAACAGTTCGCTGTCGCTTCGCGCAGCTGCCCGGACCACCGTGGTGCCGCGGTGTCATCCCAGGGTGCCACCTGCCAGCTGCACAATGGGGGCGTGCCCACCGCTCGCGCTGGGGCGCGAGCTGCTGTGCAGCGACGAACATTATCGTCGCCTCTGAGTCTTCGATTTGGGGGGCAGGGGAATTCTTTACGCTTCGCGTATCCCCACCAGCCCATCTCACAACAGCAACTCTTGCGAAGCTTGCCGACAGTCGTGTTTTTCAGGCGTGTGTCCGCTTGCCCCCGCATATCTCCCCTGTTCCTCCTTCCTCCCGGGGAGCGGGAGAAGGACGAGGCGGAGGAGGAGGGAGAGAAAGCGCTCCTCGTGGTTTGAATCGTTTGGGGTTTCTCGTCCTGGTGTGAGTCGTTCGGGCCCTTCTTCCTGGTGTGAGTCGTTCGGGCTCTTCGTGGTGTGAGTCGTTCGGGCTCTTCGTCCTGGTGTGAGTCGTTCGGGCTTCTCGTGGTGTGAGTTGTTCGGGCCCCTCGTCCTGGTGTGAGTCGTTCGGGCCCCTCCTCCTGGTGTGACTCGTTCGGGCTCCTCGTGGTGTGAGTCGTTCGGGGCCCTCGTCGTGTGTCGTGAGTCGTTCGGGCTCCTCGTGGTGTGAGTCGTTCGGGCGCCTCGTCCTGGTGTGAGTCGTTCGGGCCCCTCCTTCTGGTGTGAGTCGTTCGGGCTCTTCGTGGTGTGAGTCGTTCGGGCCCCTCGTCCTGGTGTGAGTCGTTCGGGCTCCTCGTGGCGTGAGGCGTTCGGGCACCTCGTCCCCTTTTGGGGCGTCTTGGGGGCCTCTTGGCGGCCCCAGGGGCTTCTAGGAGCGTCTTGGGTGCCTTGGGGGAGCCTCTTCGGGCCTCTTGGGAGCCTCTTGGAGGCCGTTTGGGGCGTCTTGGGGGCCTCTTGGCGGCCCCAGGGGCTTCCAGGAGCGTCTTGGGTGCCTCGGGGGAGCCTCTTGGGGCCTCTTGGGGGCCTCTTGGGGGCATCTTGGGGGCCTCTTGGAGGCCTCTTGGGGCCTCCTGGGGGCCTCTGGGGGCCATCTTGGGGCCTCAGTGTGCCTCCTGGGCGCTTCTTGGGGCCATCGTGGAGAGGATGGATCAAAGAAGAGGGGAGCTTCAATGAGCGCTGCCCCCTCAGAATGGCAAAATGAGCCCAAAACCTTCGGAAAATCAATGATTTTGCCCTGAAGGAAGAGGGAAGCTTTAATGAGCGCGGCCCCCTCAGAAGGCCAAAATGGGGCCAAAACCGTGGTAAAATCAATGATTCTGGCTTCAAAGAAGAGGAGAGGGTTTTTTTCTGCTCCCCCCCGTCGGGGCCAGAATCCTCGTGAGGGGTGTCGTTTTTTAGCCCTCCCAAGAGTCGAAAATGACCTCCTTGACGACCCGCGGAACCCCCTCTCCAGGTCCAGGGGGAGGGGATAGGGGGAGGGGTAAACCCCTCCCCGAAGGGGAAGAAGGGGGGTTGAGAACAGAGCGGGCTCTCTAAACCACTCACGCCCAAAGGGCTGGTGGGACTTCAGGAGCATGAAGTCCCTATTGGTCTTGGCACTCCTTGCTCACGGCTGCGGCACTCCCAAAACGGGAGTGGCGGATTGGGGGGATTTTGCGTTCACGCCGTGGCCTGCCGGTGGTGTCTGTCTGTCACTCTGTCGGTCTCGGTCGTCCGTCTGGTCGCTTGTCGGCCAGCCAGTGCGTCGGCGTCGTGGCCGCTTGCGACCGCGAGAGCGCCAGGGAACCGCAGCGTTCCCTGCAAGCGGCTCTCGGAGGTCGCCAGACTGGGCGTTCCAAAAAAGGGCCTTGCCTTCGAGGATAGAAGGAGTTGTCATCTCTTCCGCGGCGGAAGGGCGGCGGAAGGTCGGCGGAAGCAAAACGAGGCCGCCGCCGCCGGCGGGAGCTCGGCAGAAGGCGGCGGAAGTAAAACATGCGCCCCCAAGATATGAAAACGTTTTTGGTTCAGGGTCTCCGAAATCGCCCAGATGAGGAAAACGCTCCTGTGGGCGCGGGGATGGTGGACTTCTCGCCGCCCGCCCACGCCGTTGCTCGCGTTTCGCTGGTGGGCTGCACTCGGGGGCCGCGGTGCCATCCAAGGGCGCTTCCTGCACGTCACGGTCGTTACACGGACCCCCCCCCCAGCGTTCCCCCGGTAACGGTAGCGATCGTACGTACGGGGGCGTCTTGCACCCCCCCACACATGCTGGTGCTCGCGCGCATACAACGGCGATCGCAGCGCAACCCCGCCCAGGCGTGCCCCACCCCGTCCGAACGTTAGTGTTACCCCAGGCCCCCACCGCCCCCCTCAGTAACGCCAGCTGCAGGACATTCCTTGAAGACAACCTCTTTGGCCGATTTGGGACGGCCAACATCGAACATAGCCAGTAACTACCAAGTTGGTTTCGGTGCTCGGCCGACTGTCGGCGTGCACAGGATATCCCCCACGGGTCCGTCGCCGCGAGGTTGCCGGCAGGAAGGGCGCGGCCCTCGAGGCAGAGGACGCCGAGCCGAAGCAGGCGCGCCGCGCGGGCCCCGCGGCGGGTTGGTCCGTTCCGCTTTCCCCTGCGCGTGGTTCAATCAGCCCGCATGTAAGTCGGGCATGCCACCCTACACGAGGAATATTCAAACAGAGTCAAGAAATAGTTTTGGGACGATTTTCTATGATTTCTGACTATTCGTGAATATGCTTTGATTTATGCTTCATTTGTCTTCCGAAATTCGCCTGTAGGAGGACATGCCCGACCTAAGCCCACATGTGTGCGACGGGTCTGAGGCGCCTTGAGCGCCCGCGGTCTACACTTAGGGGGCGAAGAACTGACTGTATAAAAAAAGTTCTGCCGTCAGACACCTGCCCCTCAGGCGGCTACAAAGTTTGTACCCTTGCGGCGCCACGTCGGGGTATAATTTTTCCAGCTGCCGGGGGGGACAGGCGTCCCCGACAGCGGAACAGTTGCTGTTGTACCGTCAATTTCCCGCTAATAAGCCAACTGAGCACTGAATTGTTGACGCGTGGGGCGACATGGAAGGGGAAGGGCGCGGGCAGAAGAGAGGGCACGAAGAAAAGAAGATGGGACAGGCTGGGGCGAACTGCGCATCGGCAGTCAGCGCTTCTCTTGCCACCGAGAACGGCGGCGGGCTGGCTGATATCTCCTCTCCCCGACCCCCGACGCCATGATTTGCTCATGACGTCGACCCCTGGGCTTGGCATCGCTCGGACGTGCGCAGTTTTTTTCTCGGCGAGGACCATCAAGAAATATTGTGGGTCATCTTGCAAAAGATACGCGCATGAAACCGAAACATGTACGGGAATAGACGTCCTAGCGGTGGCGAGCGGGGCTCTCTACCCACTTCCCAGGACCATTTTTTCATCCTGAGTTGTTTTTGAACGGCCCCAAGGCCCAGCGAGGGCCCCCGGAGGCCGAAATTGGGGAAAAGTTTCGTGATCCAGTCATGACCCGAGGGGGTCTGGGCTCCAGGCCGCCTTAGATATCCGACGATGTGTTTTTTGTTTCCTTCCGGGCGTTTTTCCAACCCGGCGCCCGACGCTGGATGACCACGGGGTGCCCCGGCTTCTGGCGAAGGGCCCGCCCTCGCACGACGACGACGACGACGACGACGACGACGACGACGACGACGACGACCACGACGGCGGCGGCGGCGGCGGTGGCGACGACGACGACCACCACAGCGACGCCGACGCTGGACGACCACGGGGTCATCCTCCTGGTCGAGTCGGCGGCCGCCGCCGTCGCCTCAGCCTGCGCCGTGGGCGTCGTCGCCAGCTCGCGCGGCGACCACCCCAGATCTCCGACGTCGACGACGGCCCACAGAGTCAGCAGAGTCCTCCCCCAAGCCAGCAGTGCGAGCAAGCGTGTCCAGGCCCAGCCCTTTCGGACGGGCCTGCGAGCCCGCCTGGAGCACCCGAGCACGCTCCCCGTTCCCCTGAAGACCAAGCCCCAGTCATTATGGGCCGATTTTCCACCACCACTATCACAGGTAGGAGAGGGAAGAAGAGGTGGAGGAGGAGGTGGAGGAGGATAAGGAGAAGGAGAAGGAGGAGGACCTTTCCATTACCTACATGGTAGTGGTGATGGAAAATGGACCCATCAAGGCACGCCTCCGAGCGACAGCCCCGGACCCCGGCGCTGCTCTCCCTCCGGGTGTGTTCCATCGACATTTCGGTCTCCGGGGCCCGTCGCCGGGCCCCATGCGGGGCCATCAGGAGCGCACCCAGGGCGAAAGGAGCGCCCCCCCCGGGGAAGGTCGGCGGCGAGCGAGGGGGGGGCAAGCTAGGTGCGCTCGCGTCATATCTGACGTCCTACCCCTCCCTCCCATCCCTTACCATGGCGCTGATTTTCTCTATCCGCGGACGCGTGTCGTAGCGGACCTGTGGCTCCGCGCGCGCGTGCGTAGTGGGTGGTGGTGCACGTGCGTGCGTGCGTGCGTGTGTGCGTGGTTGTCGTGGTGCTGGTGCTGGTGCTGGTGCTGGTGCTGGTGCTGGTGCTGGTGCTGGTGCTGGTGCTGTGCTGGTGCTGGTGCTGGTGCTGGTGCTGGTGCTGGTGCTGGTGGTGGGTGGGTGGTGGTGGTGGTGGTGGTGGTGGTGGTGGTGGTGGTGGTGGTGGTGGTGGTGGTGGTGGTGGTGGCGGTGCGCGGTGGTGGCGGGCGAATGGGCGCGCGAGAAAAAGGCCCGCGCTGGGGCGAGAACGCCATCCTGAACGACGGAGGCCAAACACCGATCCGAAAATGAGGCCCACGCTGCAGCGGGAGCACGATTCGGAACGATTCGGGAGCAGAAATGAGGCCGGCGCCTCAACGAGAGCAGCATTTTTGGAAAAAATGACGCCGGCGCCTCAGCGAGAGTCGTTTCCCGGGATTTTTCGGGCATCCTGTGTGTAAAAAACAGTACGCGGAGGGTGCGCGGCTATCACCCGGACGCCATCAGGGGAAGGATTCGGGAGCAGAAATGAGGCCGGTGCCTCAACGAGAGCAGCATTTTGGGAAAAAATGACGCCGGCGCGAGAGCAGCATTTTGAGAAAAAATGACGCCGGCGCCTCAGCGAGAGTCGTTTCCCGGGATTTTTCGGGCATCCTGTGTAAAAAGCAGTGCGCGGAGGGTGCGCGGCTATCACCCGGACGCCATCAGGGGAAGAGGGAGAGTATATTCATATTGAGTAATTGTGAAGTGAGAAGGGGGCCAGGGGGGGGGGAGGGAGCGAGTCGGGGAAGTAAGAAGGGGGCGAGGGGGGAAGGTCCCCGGGCCTTCCGAGAAGTCTTCTCAGCCTTCCCCGAAGGCAAGGAACATCTTCTCAGAAGGCGCGAGGGGCTGCTGAGAAGTCCCGCCGCCTTCCAAGCAGACCATCTCCTTCTCACTTCCCCCCCGCGCTCGCCGCTGAGAAGGGGTCGGGGCCTCTCGGGGCCGCAGATTGAGAAAGCCACCTCGGCGGACGTGTGCATTTTTTCTCGGCAAGAACCATCGAGGAGCATCCTCGATCATCGACACAAAAAAAACGCACGAAACCGAAAAATGCACGGGAAATGGACGTCCGAGCGACGGCAAGATGGTCTCGGGCGTCTCGCAGTGGGGGGCGAGAAGATCGGGCCCGACGGCGAGCCAGACCGCCGGTGCATCGGCGATGCGGCGCGATCCTCTCCGACCTTCTCCCCCTCCTCCTCCTCCTCCTCCTCCTCCTCCTCCTCCTCCTCCTCCTCCTCCTCCTCCTCCTCCTCCTCCTCCTCCTCCTCCTCCTGGTATCGGGCGTCTCGCAGTGGCGGGCGATAGAGATTGGAGGGCGGGGCTACGGGCTGCATGCCAAGGAACCCCCATCTGGGTCCCCAGAGGTGCCCGAAGCGCTCCGGCCGAGCGCCGAGGCCGAGCCTGGCCGGGCCCGCCCCTGGGCCCCAGGATCGGTGCATGTCAGGGGGGCAGCGTTGGTTTGGCTGGTTGGGAGGAGGAGGAGGGAGGAGGAGGAGGGAGGAGGAGGAGGAGGAGGAGGAGGAGGAGGA